GGAATCTTTTAAAATTTGATTTATTGACCTAAGAAATCATTCTTACGCAAACAAGACGTATTGAATATGCTATGTAACATTATCAGTAAGAAATACAGGATGTATTGAATAGGGCAATTTCCGGTGAGAAGGCCCGATTTCATTTAAATTGTCAGATGTTTATATTTTCAATTGTTTTCGGTAGCAAATTGAATCTTGCACAGGAGCCTTTTTAATTATTTTTCATATACGTAATTTACTTTCATAAATATATTTTGTTTCGTTAGCTATCAATGATATTTATAATAGTTTCTAAAATGACGCTTTCAAAAAAATCGGCTATCTCACCCGAAGTTACGCTACGGAATTACCAATAAGAAATACAGCGGTTTAAAACCTCAATAATTCCTTCATTCATGACCTTATTTAAGCTGAAAGAACATATTATCGCATATAGTTTTCATTTTATTAGACGCTTCTGTATAATATAAAACGACACTTCCAAATATAAAACAATGCTTATCACTAGAACTACCAGATAAGTCAAAATAACCCATTCTTCATTTCTTCGTTCGTAACTATTAAAAAGATATAAATGCTACTCGAAGAAATTAGGAAGTAACTTGAGTTAATAGCATGTAAGATGAGAGATAATCCGATTCCAATAATCGCATTTTTATAGTTCTTACAGTAAAATAACAAAAAATCAATTCGACTGTTCGGTAGTTCCAGTGTCAATTCTTAAGTCGTCCATGCTCCCTCCATGCGATAAGAGAATCTTCAACCTAGCAACATCGTGTGTACTCTATCTACGCGCAGCCTGGTCGCAATTAATTCTACAATAGTTCCAATTCGATTAATAGTTTCGTTTCGCAGCGGCAAAACTGACCTTCCCGCGAGCGTGAACCGCACATTACAAAACGTATCACTTCGCCCGGCAATCTGATGCGCGGCAATATTTCATGTCGCAATCTCCACGCATTAATCGAACAATAATTCACGATACGACGCCGCGTTTCGCAGTTCACATCATTAATACCCCGGTAATTGCGTTATCCAATGAACGACATCAATTATTACCGGGGAGTATCGAATGCTCTCGCGGCGACAAGTTACGCGGCGGAGCAGACACCGCCGCCGCGGCGCGACAGAGTTTCCTGCGGGAAAATATCGAGCGTAATATAAATTTGGATCGTTTCTATATCGATGACGGTGACGGCGGGGTCCAGTCCCGTCTGTGTCACAGTTGAAACTGAATTTGATCACGGCGGGGAAACGGAACGGCGGCGGCGTCGTCGTCGTCGTCGTCGTCGTCATCGTCGTCGGTAATATACCCGTTACTCTAAACAGCAAGTACTCCGCCATGCAAGCGACAATTTGAACAGTCTGCTCATTTTCGTGTCAGACGTCAGATTTTCGTGGAAGAATTTATTAATTCATGCGTCAGACTACTTTGCAATGTAGGTTATCGGACGGAAATAACATAATTGTCCCAATTTGCGGTATCCGTTGTCCACAGGATTCGAGAGCGATCTGCATTTAGACTTAAATAACCGTCACTTTTAGTTCTCAACTTTCCAAGTAAGAGGATTATATTATATTTCAGAGCCGTGATTCTTCGGATGATACTTTGAAATCTTTATTCTTACGAGGTTCGCTGGTGTTTCTCAATCCGTACACTTTACTGTGCGATGTGTGAATTCCTTAAAGTGCGAATCTCCTTTATCGATGGTTTGGGTTTTTTGTATTTTTGTAAATTACAAATAAACGGTTATGGTTGAAGTATTTTGATTACTGATACCTGTAGTTCTGTAAGATTATGTTTTTATGATTCATCCTTTTCGGAGATCGCTCAAATGCAAGATTCGACAAGGATCACTTCACTGAACTTCGTTTGCACTTTAACCCTTTGCACTCGATTTATTTTAACTGTTGCTGGGTGTAAACTTGTATTTATTTTCAGGAAAATGAATTAAACGAGTGTTCGCATAAACGTTTACAATGTACCTATTGATTAATTTGTTCATGGAACGAAAGTTTATGAAAATTATATGCCAATTAACGAAAAAGATTAGGGCAAATGTATTGTACGTTATAAAATCATTATAAATGGTAAACACGTTTTAAACATTCAGTTTTAACGTTTTACATAATTATCGATGGAACTTTAATAAATTGGAAATTCCAACGGTTGAATTTTATTTTTCAACACAAGTATTAAAATATGCCTGAAATATGAATGTGAAAACGTTCCTTCAATGTTAACGTATTTTCAAAACAACTGCACCTATACGTCAAAGAATTGTTGGAATGAAAATTTAATATCCGTTTTTGTAAAGAACGTATTTTGAAAAGTGGCAATTTACTGTGTAGCGAAAGATTGTATAGGGAGAATACAATTACATGTAATTTAGCTGATTCGATCGTTATACAATCATTTTAATGGTTACAAATTATTTTGTAAATGCTTGGAAGGAAATAGTTGATGCCTGGTTTATTTTCTCCCTTCGATACAAAAGTTCTTCTCAGTCCTTACTGTTACAGCCCTTTTGAAAACTTTGAAATGTAACGAAGATAGATATGAATTTTTCTCAAGAGACACCTTTGGCAGCCAAGCATTTAATTTCAATATTTAACAAATTACACCTTAACAACTTAAAAGAAATCTAAACTTCTCTCTCAGAAAATGGCAGTTCGAAGTTTGAAGTGTAAAATACGAAAAATACCAGAGATCCGTTGCGATATGGAGAAAATAGTATTAACACTAAAATTACCGACCGGGTCAAATTTCTTATCTCAGAATTTTTATTTTGTAAGTATTTAAATTATTAAATCGTTTTTGTGAAAGATTTTCAATTAAATCCGCGTATCTCCACAAGATCAGGAGATCCTTCGAATTTCAAGAAACATAT